CTGCGCCGCCGCCTCCCGGCCAGCTCCGGGGCCGCTCGGTCCGGCTGGCTCGTGGGCTCGGGCGGCGGCGGGGCCCAGAATGAGTTTAAATTTGCGATCCGACTTAATCTCCCAGGGTCTGGGATTGCAAATGTGCACCACCGCACTTGGCTCTTACTGTAAGTTTTTGAATTAGCTTTACTTTTCTGACATGGCATAGCACACCTGTGGGTTTTTACGTTTTCCTCTTGGAATGATGTTTGTGACATCAAAGCATGGTTTCTGGAATCATGATTTTAAGTAATACACTTTTTATTGTAATTAGAGAATGATGTCACTAGATGTCACTCTTTAGCAAAAAAAAATTGTCCCAGTTTTGGTCAGTAACTGGTAAGTAATGGCAGGCAACAGAAAAATGCAGTCAGTAGTACTTTAGCCATACAAACATAGTTTTCTGAGTTTCCATCCGTGCAATGTATTAATCAGATACTGTTGATTATTCAGCATTTTTAGCATTTCTTAGCTTCACAGGTATAAGGTGATTTTCAATGTTAGTTGAACCAGAAAAAATTAAGAGTAACTGATTTTGAAAGTGAAATCCAAAGCCCTAAGATCATCGATCAGTGAAAATCAGATGGTTTGTGATATCATTGCTAAATTTTGTGTGACACTGAGCAAATATTTAATTTTCATTAGTGCACCAGGGTGGTAAACATTTCCTTTCTTAAGCCTATGTTCATTAGTATATATTTAATATATACACTACATTTTAAGTATACAAAGGATGATTGAAAGATATAATGAATGCTTAATTTTTTAAAAAACGTATTACAGTAAAAGATACATTGCTAAGTGTTTGAGGTGAGGGAGAATATTTTGAGGGGGCTTAATAGTAATGTGTCTTTTAGGGTGATACACTTTAAAAATGTAAACTTTCACTGTATGTTATAATCACACCAAACTGATTGAATGTTTATGACAGTTTCTGTCCAGTGAAAACATTGCAGTGTTCCCATCCACCTTGCTCTCCAGACTTAGCAGCGTGCACCTTCTGGCCTTTCCACAAATTCAAAATGACTGTGAAGGGCAAAGATTTTCAATCAGTTCAGGACATCAAGGCGGCCACAACCTTGCAAATAGACACTTAATGAACAAAACTTCCAGAATAGTTTCCACAGGTGGAAAGAGGGCCAGGGAGACAGCTCAGCAGCATAAGCACCTGCCTGGCAAGTGCAAGGTCCTGAATTGATCCCTGGTACCAAAAAGAAGAAGAAGGAGGAGGAGGGAGAGGGGGAGGAAGAAGAAGAAGAAGAAGAAGAAGAAGAAGAAGAAGAAGAAGAAGAAGAAGAAGAAGAAGAAGAAATGGGATTTTTGTATTGTCATATAATATATTCCTGAAATATAATTTCTTTACTGAGCTCCTATTGGTACTGTATTTGAACAATTATAATTGGATTACTACTATTAAAACCGAAGTATCACCAGGTGTGGTGGAGCACGCCTGTAATCCCAACACTCAGAAGCTAAAGCAGGAGGATTGCTGTGAGTTTGAGGTCAGCCTGGACTACAGCATGAGACACAGTCTCAAAAAAGAAAACTAAATAAGTACATAAAACCAGCTGGGCTTGGAGGCTGCAGGCCTGTAATCCCAGCACTTGGGAGGCTGAGGCAGGAGGGCTGATGGCTGGCAGTTTGAGGATAATGTGGGCTACAAAATGAATTGAAAGCCAGCACTACATAGTGAGATCCTGTCTCAAAAAGTCCAAATATCTATATCTCTATATCTATATCTCTGTATCTCTAATATATAGAGATGTAATCAGTATAAGTACTGCACGCTAACTGATTGCGCCACTGGAGCTCCACAGATATATCATATATACATACAGTGAATGTTAAAAGTTTTTAAAATGTATTTCAATAAAAGACACATTGCCTCAATTCTTCCCAAAATACTTCCCCTTACCTTGAACATAATTCCGAGGCCAGCCTGAATTCTATCTCAAAAAACAAAAACAAACAAGAGTCAGAAGTGTGAACTTTTTTGTGTGTGGTGCAGGGGACAAAGTGAATTCTGGGCACTGCAAGCACTAGGTAGAGTGCTCCTCCCTGTGCTACATTCCTAACCCCTCTGTATGGACCTTGGAAATAAAAAGAAATAAAACTTAACTTAGTATTGAGAACATTTTTATAAAGATTTGTAATATACATAAGTTTAAAAAACAGCTTTAAAAAAATAAAATGGGCTGGGGAGATAGCTCGGTAGAATAAGTGCTTGCTTGGCAAGCACAGGGTCCTGAGTTCAATCCCCGGTACCACAAAAATAAATAAATAAATACACAAATAAAATTTTAAAAACAGCTTTAAGGAGAGGGCTGGCCAAATAGCTCAACGCATTAAAGTGGCTGCAAGTAGGTTTTATCTCCAGCCTGCTGTTCTGGCCCCACTCCCAGGTCGTGCAGCAGGCCTGTAATCCCAGCTCTTGGGAGGCTGTAAACAGGCGGATCACTACAAGTCCGATCTAGTAGTGAGACCCTGAACACCCTGTAGACCCTTCCCTAAAATACAAAAACTATGGGGGCTGGGGAGATGGCTCAGTAGAATAAGCGCTTGCCTGGCAAGCACAAGGGCCTGAGTTCAATCCCTGGTTCCACAAAAATAAATAAATACAAAAAATAAAAATAAATAAATAAAAATAAAAACCAGCTTTGATTAAACCTAAAAATCTGAAGATTCAAGAATGCAGTAACTCTTAAATCTTATACCACTTGAACTATCATGATGTAAATACTTTATAAACCTTTAATTTTGCAGGTGATGGTAGCCAGGGCCTGTAATCCCAGCTATTCAGGAGGCTAAAGCAGGAGGATCACAAGTAGGAGGCAAGCCTGGCAAGCCTGGCAAGCCTGAGCGGTTTATTAAGATCCTATGTGAAAATAGAAAGTAAACAGCGGTGGGAATGAAGTGAGGGGTATAGAGCTTCCCTAGAATGCTCTACAGGCCTGGATCAGCCTCCAGCTGGGAGGGGGTCAGACCCTATTTAATTTTTGAAGAACATTTATAATTGATTTGTGATATTTAAAGTAATCAAAAGCACAAATGCCCAATCAAGACACTATAATATGTTAATAAGCTAGGGTATCATCTTTTTATTAGCACTACTAGTTACTAAAATTAAGATTGTTATAAGGATAAGATTGAGGGGCTGGAGAGATGGCTCAGTGGTCTAAAGCACCTACTTGGAACAAGCTTGGCAAAGCACAGGGACCGCGGTTCGATCCCCCAGCACCACATGCCAGCCAGCCCCAGCCCCTGGTGGGCTGAGCTGCCCCCCCCCACACTAAATGTTAAAATAAAAAAAAAATTAAAAATTTTAAAAGGATAAGATTGAAGTGATAGGGGCCAGGGAGATGGTGCTTGCCAGGCAAGCTCAAGGGCCTGAGTTCAATCCCTGGTTCCTCAAAAAAAAAAAAAACCAAAAAACAAAGATTGAAATGATAGGTGAAACAAATAGCACTCAGTGGTATGAAAATAGTATAAAACAGTGTCTGGTTTAGGACACTGACTTTTCATTTTATTTAACACTTGTTTTACTTAAACATAGATCTTTCTGTTTAACTTATTTTTCGATGATTAAATGTAAAGATTTGTTAACATTTGCATGATTAAACAGTGGAATCAAGGTATGTACAAGGTGCATATTTCATGTTATAGGCCGCTTCTAGCTCTCTCTCTCTCTCTCTCTCTCTCTCTCTCTCTCTCTCTCTCTCTCTGTGTGTGTGTGTGTGTGTGTGTGTGTGTGTGATGGGAAATCCAGAGAGCAGGCTGGGAGTGGCACAGTGAGGGCGGCCCCTCGGGCTCCCCCCCCCCAACACATTCATTCACAGAGAATAATCAGGCCTTACGCAGTTGCTCCCTCTACTCCAGTAAGGCTTCGCCAAATCTCCCAGAACTCGGTAAGTTCAAAGCGCAGGGAAAGGATTAAGGTTGTAAGGACTAATACGAAAGGATTTTGGTTCTAAGGATTAATACGAAATGATTTTGTTAATAGTGTACTGGTGGGTGGAGAATAGAGGGTGCGAAAGTAGCGATTATGAGGCATCATTTTGCTATGGTATTTGCACTGGGAAAAGTCTCAATGCACAAATGATTTCAAAATGATTATCTACGCGCCAAGCTGTCTCCCCTAGGAAAGCTCTCCGGAGGGGCCCCTCGCAGCCCGCTGCAGCCCACGGGAGAAATAAACCAGACTCCGGCAAGTCGGGGCTCCGGCGTCGG